GGGGGGGGGACAGTTAACAAAATAATAGTAAATATAAAATTGGGAACAAGTTTCATTCATGTGGAATACTGTAAAATACTTTTTCATTTGGGATTTATCTTTGCTGAAAGGGTGGTTCAGTGTAAGTAAAATCCAGTGAAAACCTTTTTCCCCTATATTTTACATTCAACTCATCAAAAATCAGTGAAAGTAAACTTCATACATACACCCAAAAAGTCTAATTCTAGCTACAATAAATTATTTTACAGTAATAAATAATTTTATTTTTATGCAATTTTAAAAGCAGGCACCAGACGCTTGCCTGAAAGCAGCATTGCTGACTGACTAGCAAATTTGCACTATGTGCGGTGGTAGTAATCATCACTTTGGAGTATTGTATGTTATTTTCTAAATTTATTACATAACATTATATACACATTTTTTTCTGTATTGTTTTTCAGGATGTGATGATGAAGACAATAAAGATATCATCAACAAAGTTGATGAAAGCGGCAACGATGATGGGCAAAACATAATAGATGAAAGTGGCAATGATGAAGAATACATCGAAGTTGATGAAACTGGCAATGATGAAGATGACAATGAAGTTGATAGCAGTGATGAAAGAGATAACAAAGTTGATAAAAATGGCACTGATGATAGAGACAGTAAGGTGGATGAAAGTGGCAATGATGGACGCAAGGCGAATGAAAGCGGCAGTGATGGAGAGAAGACAAATGAAAGCGGTAATGATGGAGACAAGGCGGATGAAAGTGGCAAAGATGGAGACAAGGCGGATGAAACTGGTAATGATGGAGACAAGGCGGATGAAAGTGGCAGTGATGGAGACAAGGCGGATGAAAGTTGCAATGATGGAGACAAGGTGGATGAAAATGGCAAAGTTGGAGACAAAAAGGTAGATGAAGATGGCAATGGTGATGATAACAAAGATGATACTACCAATGATGATGAAGTAGATAAAAGTGACAAAATTGATGAAGACAATAAGGTAGATGAAGATGGAAATGATGATGGAGCTAACGGTGACTATGCAGGTGACAATAGTGATGAAGACTGTAATGAGGAGGATTTTATGATGGATATCAGTATGTTTTTAGATGGTGATATGCAGATATTGGATGAAGCATAACACAAAAACATATCAGAAAATTATTTCATTCACAACACTGCCAGATTAAATATCCATTTCTATCCTGGTATAATTCTCATATAATGTGATGAGAATGCATAGAATATTGTTATAGATGTATTTAGCAAATTTTTCATGTTTCTGTTATCATCTTATCTTATGTTGGACAAAATAACACAAGGACTCAGGTCAAATTATGACTGGGATACAATGGTGATATTTTGCAGACAGTGTCTTTGATTTGAGTCAATTTGCATCATGATGAGTTTTAATAGCTCTTGTTTGCGTTTACCATGTTATTGTACTTACCAAAGACTGCCACATAGATGTAACCTATCTGCTGGTTTCAGTGTGTGAATTCACTGCCAATTATGCAGAACCTAAGAAGTAATGCCTCATCTTGATTTATCAAATGCATCTTCCTGAATTATTTTCTTGCATTTTGACAACAAATTTAAATAATTTGAAAACTTTTTAAGAATAAATTTCTTTACTGTTTTATTTAAATGATTTGGAACAACATTTCCTGGAAATCCGGCAATGAACATGGAAGTGAGTGTGCAAACTGTATGAAATTATTTTTTTTTAGTTGGAATATATTAATGCTGAAAACTACAAATTAAAACATATTTTCACCATATTAGCATAAGGTGGTAGTCACTGGATTTTATTTGTTGCTGATTTTACCTTTTAGTAAAACTAAAGTGAAAATATTCTCCAGAATATTAAGAATTATGTATTGGTATACAACATGTCTGTCTGTTACCTGATGTTTGTAATAAGTAAGTTAATTTGCTAATTATAAATGAATAGGCAGCTTTGTATTGTATTATAGATCTATGTTTTAAAAAATCAGGATTTTGTTTTTGATAAAAATAATGTGAAATGTATGCGTTTATTGCTGAAGTACTTTTGAAATGTTCATTGAACAAATAATTAGAAAAAGTCTTCTCATCAATTGTTATTAAGAATAGAGGACAATTTTTGAACATTTCTTGTATTTGTATTCAATCCCAGGTCAGACATTAAATGAAATAAACTCTGCATTTCATCTTTTGTGTATGTTTTGTTTTGAACATTTTCACCAGTTTATCCAGTTTAGTACTGTGAAATGCTTTATTTTAGCTGCAGTGTTCTCTGACAATGGGTTTAAGAGGGGGCAGTGTCCCTCTATAATTTATTTGCACCCCTCTTCATTTTGTAGCCCCCTCTATATATCTTGAGTGCCCTTTGTTTTTGTCTCGGAAGATGTCCAGACAATGTTATTGAGAAACCTCTTGTAAATTGATAAAACAAAGAAGAGACAGGTAATGGCATAGATGACAACTAGGACAATGAATTTGATGTCCAGGGAAAAACAACGAGCTGAATAAATAAACAAATGAAAACAATGGCTAGATATGTGAAGTGATTGTCACATGCACTGCGTTAATCATGCCATGGGAGAATCAAAACAAGTTCCTTCATCAATCTTGAATTAGCTCAGATACTTTAGAACTGAAGAAGCAACAACAATTTATTGGTCCAATTGCTTGTTAATTGCCATTTAGTGATGAAAATTAAAACAAAACATCAGTAGACCATAGACATACTAATTATAACACTGAGCTGGAATTGATTTTTGCTGAAAAGACATTTTGCCAGTTTTGTGGGAAGTTTATTTTCACCGATTTTTGAAGAGTGTGAATGAAAAGCATAGGAAAAGTAAAATATTTTCACTGGAATAGCAAAAATAAATTCCAAATAAAAAATTAAGTGCTTAACAGTAATAGGGAGGAGGTAATGCATAGGCTAAACTGCCGGTACAGCGACATGCAATGAAGCTTCCATTGAAATCTTGCATGAAATTTTCATCGATCTCTAATCTAGAATGCTTATACCTTATGCTTGTATTCGATTTTGTATTCACCTCTTCCGCAGTTTTCTTTTTTCTCGTACTTTGGCTTGTATATTCCATTCATGCTGCATCTCTTCTTTGAATTTACTAAGTATTGTGTGCAAATATGATGGTTACAATTTTGGGAAGTATTTCAACCTATGGGATGGTGACTGAGAATTAGCCAGTCAATGAGATTAATTTAATTTCTACTAATTAAAAACTTCTTTAAATCATAATGGCCAATCTGCTTGCATTTCTCTTTTTGCCAATCATGTACAGGGCCATTCCCATTTTAACCGGTCCTGTGCAAGGCCAGTATTACCGGTACATACTGCCAAAATATATGGAATCAAAACTTGTGTATTTAGGATACAAAACGTCTCGTCGGGAGTTCTATCAATAAAATCATCTGGTTCAGTTCATATGTAGTCTGATTCATCCATTCCTAAACTTGAACCTACTCTGTTCAACAATTCATGTATATATCGGAAACTTATTGGTATGTATTAGGGGTTGACCATTATAACCACAGTCCATGTACCATATGATAGAGATTCTGTGGTCCACTTTGACATGGTATCAGTTTATTTTTAGTGTTCGGGTGGCTACACAACTATCAACAGAATTCATCCTGTTTCGTATGCCTATCTGAAATACAGAGTGACGGCAAAGAAAACCTAAGACTGGTCCAGCTGTGGACTTTTTATAATTCTTTTAAATCTTCGCCTGACGCGTCAATGACTAGGTATTTTGCAAATTCGTTCTTAAAGTAATTACCATGTATGACAAAATGTAATTGTCACCTACAGTCCTGTAGGTTGGCCTCCTGTCGCTGATCATTCGACCCTCACAATTGTAAAAGTTGTGGGGCCCGAATGATCAGTGGAAGCACAGAGTGACTGTGGTGGAAGGAGGCCAACCTACAGGTCTGTACTCGGGGCTACCGTTGGCCAGTCTTTAGAAACGTCCGCAACCGTATTGTCGATCTCGAATGACGTCACAACTGAGGGAATCCCTTTACGTCACGTGGCCAAACGCCATTTTGACATGTGTTTGACAGTTGTGTGTCGACGTCGTGTTCTGATATTACTAAACCTGCTGTAGAGCTACCTTCAACAGAAATTATATTTATGGATATTGGAGATGCTATTGACGAGTTTAGAGTGTTGCTAGGCAAAATAAAATTGGATAGAAAAAGAGCATTCCTGGACAAATTGCAAGGTATGTACAAACTACGTGTCGGGTAGCTGCAGCTGCAGCTATAGTTCTGTGGCTTTTTAGGTTACCTTTTATTGCAGGTATGGTAATTTCACAGTCACGTGTGAAGTACTGATTGTTGGTTATATGTTCATTTCAGAAATGTACATGCTATATACTGTATAAACAGAGCATGCACGAAAAATTGAATAATTTATTATTTTGTTTTCAACTGTCATGCTTTCTACAATCGATTGGTCCAAAAACTATTTTGTCACTTATCCCGGTGGGATGTTCCATAAATTGTCGAATATCCCACTGAAATCAGTACGCAACTATTACATTTCTAACAGTTTTTCGGCATTGATACACTGGGTTTTATGAAAGCGTGAACTTGTTTTATGGACATTTATAAATATTTATGAAACATTTATCCCGAAAGATGTTCGCATTTCATTCATGATTCAAATATAGATGTTTTCATTGGCTGTAAAAACAATTTGGTAACGCCCATTACCCATGCATTTTTGCAGGGTTTTACCAATCACTGACAGATCTAATGCGAGGAATGCGAAAATTTGAAATCACGTTTGCAGGTACAAACAAAAATTGTATGGGACGTTAACTTACCACAATGGATTTGAGTTATATACAGGCAGAATTCACTATAAAGGCGATTTGGTTTTTAAAATTATGCTAATTTATTTGCAATTTGTCATTTCCTGTGCTCATGAATATTCATTAATTTGTGGGTCAACACATTCTAAAAGGGGCAATATATTATGTTTGGGGCAAGAGTTAGAAAGGGTGAATTAGCAATTCTATACAAAAGGGACCCATTTGGAAAGCAGCAATGATCCACGTGTCTGTTGGTGTGCATGTGACTTGCAGCAATTAACTCTGTTTGTACTTCAACGACTTTGACTGGCTTCCATTGGAAGCAATCTCTGAGTCTCCAGTGCACTGTCTTGTCCCCTGTACCACGAGGGTCTTCATATAAATGATAGGATTTAGGTTCTATTTAAAATCTCGCAAACCAGAGAATTTGAACCTGTGATCACTCGCATTGCTGACAGTGTATAAATCCACTGAACCATGTGGGTAGTCACAGAAATAAATAATTTGTAATACTTATCTTTATTGCAAGTTAGTGTTTGTGAGAAATGACAGACAAGGATAGGTTTTTGAACCTTAGCCCTCCTGATCACTAAACAGACAAGTTAACCACAAGACCATGATGGACTGACTGCTCATCTTTGCATTTGATAAGATTATATAGTGTGTACCGTATATATATATAAAGATATACTACATATTTACATTATTGAGTCACAATTAGCAATAATATTGTCGATTTGTTTTTTTCTATTTCTAAACTATATTGATGCCATAACTCATTAGTGTACATCTTGAGTCTCAACCAATTTGGTGTTTGCCATTTGCGTTGACCATACCTGAACCAACCCTAACCTTAATGCCAAGACACGTTTCTGTTAATAATTGTAGCTCAATTACTGTTGTGTGCACTGTCTGCTGGTAAGTTAGAATGATGTCAAATGATTAAACAAGTGACGTTTAATTAATTTTCACCATTAAAACTTGTTAAATTTAGAGAATAAATATGTTGACAAATATTTGCCATGTATTTGCGACGTTCCTTGTTTACTTTTTATGGTTTGATATGTTTCAGTTTATTTGATTTACATTTTTCATGGTAGCTCTGAGCGGGACTCAAACCCACTGCTATTTCAAGCTAATTTTTGTTTTATCTCGGCGGCACGCTTGTGTACCACGCCACGACGTTGTTCGTTGAGTGGTGTTCATTTTGCTTACTTCAATGTCCTGATTAGTTGAATGAGAAAGCCAAAACATTTTGGTTCCGGTGAGTATTTATCTAGTAGGATTCGAACCCTTGACGTTTGTATGACGTGGTTTTTCATTTTCCCCATGTTTGCCATGCCGCAATATGCGATCACTTCCCTGTTTTATTGTGATTTTGTGAGTGTTTAATGATTACTTCCTCGCCCGTTATGCCATGACCCATTTTCAACCACATGGCCATGTTGCAACGACTGACTATATGATTGTTCTGTTCAACTGTTAAGCTAGGATTTATTACCATTATTATCATTATATTGTCACGTGATTTGTTTTACCTTATATGTAATGTCTTAAGTATCTTTATTGTAATTTGTATATACCAATTCATATATACCGAGGAAACAACCCTGACCCCCTTGGTGCCTTGACTTTTTAAACATTTACAATTCTAATAATGTAGATATTTTTACTAGTTCACCATTTGATAAGAGGTTTGTTTCAAACTCTTAATATTAACACTGAGACACTTATAAAAATTATAGTATTGTTTTTGTTTTGTACACATGCTGTAATTTGGGTAACCTGCACGTGTCTCTTGAAAAAGTAATCACAGAAAATAATCATTCAGCATGGATAAAATGAAAAGATCAGTAGTGTTTTCTTTCAGAAATATATTGTGATGATTCTGATGAGGAAAGTAATGAAGACGTTATTGTACAAAGTATCGCAGAATCACTGCGAGCCAAATTACCGCTAAGTGCACAGGTGGACAGTGAATGTATTATGTACCCAACTGTTGGTCATGTAAGTCGATACAGTCACTATTAACAGTATAAATCATCCGTTGATGTCATCATGTATCTCGCAGTGTTATAATGGGTATTGTATTAAAAAAACTATTAGGATAATATTATTTCTTTATATTGTCAGAATGGAGACTGTGAGACTGGCACAACTCTACATGTTGATAAATTCCTATATGATGACGATGCTGTAGAAACGCTATGTGATGAAGGCACCCTACATCGCTACTTTTGTCAGGACTGTGGATCCCATAATGTACACAGTCTCAGTAAGTCTACTTTTGTCAGGACTGTGGATCCCATAATGTACACAGTCTCAGTAAGTCTACTTTTGTCAGGACTGTGGATCCCATAATGTACACAGTCTCAGTAAGTCTACTTTTGTCAGGACTGTGGATCCCATAATATACACAGTCTCAGTAAGTCTACTTTTGTCAGGACTGTGGATGCCATAATGTACACAGTCTCAGTAAGTCTATATAGTTAACTCATACACATATATGTTGGGATAAATTCAAGTAGCACAACAATGTTGATTTTGTTTCACAATCAATTTCATTTCACATTCAGTCATCAGATAAAATGTAAAATTGTGTTTTTCTTCAGCTTTTATCTCTCACTCGTGTTCCATCGCTCAGTTAAAATACATCTTTAAACATGTGTTACCATCCCTACGAGAGAAGATAGTGGTGGATGTTGGTTCTCGACTTGGAGCTGTGTTGTATGGTGTAAGTGTTAAAATCCTGGCATGATAAGTACATCATTAACAGTGTGTAAAGTATTATGTTGGTATTTGTACAGATAGTTGTAATATGTTGTGTATCATTATGTAGTTTGGTGTATATTTCTGTGATACTGAGGGAAAAATGAAAGCATGCATTTACAGATGACTAACATCCACAATGTTTACATGCTCTAGGTCTTACATCCACAATGCGCCATTCCAGTTTATATCTGCACCCCCCAGTTGATGAGCTTGTGTGTTTACTTCATACAGGGTATAATTTCCATGGGTGTATAAGTCATACAAAGTTTTATTTCCAAATCACCATTCACCATACAGTAATCCAAAACTATAGTTCCTAGTATGGTG